TTCAGGTGCAAAAGGTCTACCAGGAAGATCTGGTTTGAAAGGACGTGATGGTTTACCTGGAGCACCTGGCATAGCTGGGGATCCAGGACCTTTAGGTGCCCCAGGACCACAAGGTTTTGAAGGTAATTTTATGATTTGGGGAGCACAGGTCAGGAAGAAGCATGCGGTAGAATTCTGTTTCTGCAGAGACCCTCCCCAACACTCAATTATATTAGGAAAACCAGGGGACGTACAAGATCTTATGTCTTGTATCTGCAATGAAGTAAATTTAATCTCCAGTGAGGAAGATTATGTCACATGTCACTGTTGTCTATCACTTCTAGTGTTTCCTTAGGTATGATTCTGAGCATCTTTTGGTTTTAATGTTTTGTGGATGTGGGAGTCATCTTCAAGATTTAAAAGAGTGAAATGGTATTCATAGTGAACACAGTTGTGGGGGTTGGACAGTAGAGGAAAGGTACAGTGAGAGAGAGAAGGTTTGGGTTCTGCCATAGGTTTGTGGTACGACTTTTGGCCTTTCTGTGTCAAAGGAATATCATCATGAAGAGCAAAAATGAACTTACTAGGTTTTGGTTGGTGCTTTGAGATCCTCAGAATTATTTTACTGTGAGATATGTGCTAACACATTGGCACCAGGGTTGTTGGGCAAAGAAAATTAAATGAGGTAGGAAATGGGTGGGTGCTCTTGTGAGACAGCTTTTGGAACTGATAAATCTAGTTATTCATATAACAACCATCAAAACTTGGGCTCCTCGTTGTACAAGACTGACATAAACACAATGACAGCAATACCAAAATCAGGAATAGAGCCAGCTGATGTCCACACTGCATATTAGTAATAGTGACGCCTTTTCTGTCTTCTAGGTGTTGCTGGAAAGCCGGGCTCACTTGGTTTGCCGGGAATGCCTGGTCGGAGCGTGGGCGTTGGATACACTTTAGTGAAGCACAGTCAGTCAGACCAAATCCCACCTTGCCCCATAGGAATGAATAAGCTCTGGGATGGCTACAGCTTATTGTACGTGGAGGGGCAGGAAAAGGCACACAACCAGGATCTTGGTGAGTAAACAGAATTCTTTTGGGCATAAGCAATGTGGGACAAAATCCCATTTCAAATGAGCAATCTTCACTGGTACCACAGGTGGTTGTAAGTAGAGGCAGTGGAAGTCTGCTTGGCCAGAATCTGTCCAGGGAGCAGTGTCACTTGTGCCACTCTCTGCCACTCCTGCCTGGTGTGTATGAGTTGGAGCATTTGGCAGATGCTTGGTATGACCACTTATCCAACGTTTCCAGGTTTTGCTGGCTCATGTTTGCCTCGCTTCAGCACCATGCCTTTTATTTACTGCAACATCAACGAAGTGTGCTACTATGCCAGCCGAAATGACAAGTCCTACTGGCTCTCCACCACTGCTCCCATCCCCATGATGCCAGTGGACAGTGTTCGGATCCCACAGTACATCAGTCGTTGCTCAGTCTGTGAAGCACCTTCCCAGGCCGTGGCCGTGCACAGCCAGGACATCACCATCCCGCAGTGTCCCCTTGGCTGGCGCAGCCTATGGATAGGATACTCCTTCCTCATGGTAAGGATGCTATCGCTAATGCAAAGGCAGCTTTAAACGTTTCTAGATCTTTGGCCAGGTGACTGAGACTCTATTCTGTGAGTTGCTTAGAGGAAACTAGAGCCCTGTAGCTTCTCGCCCTGGTGCATTTGTTCTTTAATAACTGGCCTGCTGTAGGCTTTCTGAGTTTGTTCCCGTTTAACTGGCCTTCTCACCTGCACTGCTCATGTTCTGTAGTAACGGTGATGCAGTAATTCTGTATCGCCACAGATACTCTTTGTTCTTCAAACCTTTACGTGTGGAAATGCTAATTAAGCTACAGCGTTGTCTTAATCCCCTCAGTGGAAAAAGTCATACATTTTCCATTGCATTCTCCTAGAAGCTCATTAGTGTGAGATTGTTAGAAAAGTGAGAAGTCAGCATTATTGTTTCCAAATTTTCCCAGCTTGCAAGTGGAAAGCTGGTTTTCCATGATAGCAGGCCTGTATATCCAGCCCAAGCACATTCCTTGGCTTCTTCACCTCTAGCCCTGACTCAAAAAGACAGACAGACACAGACAAGGAGTAATTGTGGTTGACTGTTCTGCTCCTTTTAACGATGGAACTGGAGGACTCCCCTGTTTACCTCCCCTTCTGTTCCATTGAACTCCTTTAAAATGACATCTTTATTTCAGCATACTGCGGCTGGCGCAGAAGGTGGAGGTCAGTCCCTTGTCTCACCTGGCTCTTGCTTGGAGGATTTCCGTGCTACTCCCTTCATTGAATGCAACGGTGCCAGAGGAACGTGCCATTACTTTGCGAACAAATACAGCTTCTGGCTGACGACGGTTGAGCAGTCGCAGCAGTTTGTCAGTGCTCCTCCCTCAGAAACTCTGAAAGCAGGACAGCTTCGAACAAGGGTCAGCCGTTGCCAAGTGTGCATGAAGAACTTGTAGTAACAAAAATGCAGTAACATTAACCAGTCTTCGTTACCCAAGACTAGACATCACTGACGTGAAGAAGGATAAATGCATAAACCTGTTTTGTGTGTGGTTGATGGGTGAATCAAGACAGCCAGTATTCTACAAAAATCAAGTGTCAAGTCCAGGAGTTTGACTGCGCACAGAGGAGGAAAAGATCAGTGCTCTGAAACCTCTTTTTTAGATGGAACACGGTGCTATGCTTTTACTTCAGTGGGGTTTTTTTCCCCTCATTTATGGCTACCTCAGAAAGTCTCTGTGAGTTCCTTATTCAGACCGAAGAGTAAGTGACCTCTCACATTACACCACTCCTCTGTCCGAGGCACGTGCCAATCACCAACCAGAGAGACTTCAAAAGCTAGGCTCTAGTAGTGTCTTTGCAAGCAGTATTTGGTCTAGTGTAAGGGGATGAAGACTCAATCTCCTATGAAATGCAGGGCTAGCTAAAATTTATCAGTGCATTGTAGGTGACTTAGAAACACTGAGCATTACTGGCTGGTAACTGACTTCCTTAGGAAGACTCAAAGATTAATTTGGTTTGCTTTGCTTATTAAACAGATGGGATGTTCTTACCTCCAGTGATAGGTAATCAATTCTAATCCAGACTTTCATCCACGGTTGACTTTAAGGAGCTACCCCAGTGAAAAATGCAATTTTTGATGTGAAGATGGATCCAAAACACCTCTAGCATTTTTCATAGCTTTCCACTGAAGCATATTCCAGGTAAAAATGTCTACTTCGAGGTCTGTGCTTATCTTCCGGCAGTCAAACGATGTGCAGCCACCAGAAACATTTCATTACTATGAACATAAATTTCCTTTCTGAGGTAGCCTGGGCACACTTGTTTGGTCATTATTGCAGCTGTGCGTAGGTGAGCAGTAGAGGCTTTACTAGATAGCATGCAGGCTTACGCGAAGACAGAAGGAAGCAGTTACGGCACGTACATTTTTTACTTCTACAGTCATGATGTGTTGTATACTTCTTCCCCTGGGCTTTATTTCTGTTAGTTTAAAAAATTGTATTTCTAGCGTATGCACTGTGAACTGGTCCCACTTCCCTTCAGGGCATCATTAAAGGCAAGTGCCGCTAATTAATTGTATTCTCCTTGTATATTTTGAGGGGAAGCCATGGAACAGGCATGCTGATCTGTATCATGAATTCATTTAGTTGGGCTAAAGCTATTGTTATCAACTTCTCTAGAGTAAAGCATATGAAATCCTTAGATATTGACATTCCCACGACATTTGAAAGAAGCGCCTTGCAAATACACTCTCACCTTGGCTTAAAAATCTTTGAGACAAAATTGTTCACAAAATTACTATTAATGCAAGACTGAGACATTATTTTAAAGTCTTATTTCTTTACAAGGTTCTAGGGCTCTAGCTCTATTCAGCAAAGTACTGAAGAACACACGTACTTTTAAGGAGGTAATATTTTTACCTTTAATGATTATTTACATGCACGATATACTATTATCTTCCTGGATTGGGGTCCGAGAGCTCTGCATGTTCTAGAGTTGAACCGCACTGGAGATGAGCTGGGAATTTGTAAGAACAATTTAGTCTTTCATTTAACTAATTGTGAAAGGGCTGCAACTGCTTTGACTGTATTTTGCAAGTATCGGCGTTTTAAAGTTTTAGTGGCAATCCTCGTATGCAGAATACTCAGTCTACTTCTTTGCTGTCCCAGCACAGACAGATCATGTTGTATTTACACCTTGGGTTATGCAAACGCAACTTTAAAGCACTGTGTGCACACAGCGAAGCTCACTACTTTTTGAAAATTTGTCCAAATAACTGGCAAACTACAATGAATTTTTCAGCCATTGGGCTCCCATGGTGCTATCAAAAGGGGCGTTGATCAGGTATTGTGTCTACAGGGACTTGGTTTTATTTTTGAGCATGGACACACGCAAATACAATTGATTTTTTTTTTTCCAGGCTCAGCGCCTCATGCACGTGAAGCGCTACTGGCTTTAGGGAACCCCTTCTGTTGCAGCAGCCTGGCTTCTCTCCTATCAGTGTCCAAACTTCCATTGAGCTCAAGAAGCCCGGCCTCTCCCTGCTCTGTTTACACATGAGCCATTCTCCATCGGGTGCATGGGGTGGGAATTCCAACCGCCAAACCTTCTTCCATCAGCCCCGTTTCCATGGATCTGTTACCCCTGCCAAGAACACCTCTTCGAGAGGGCTCCAGGGCCAAGACCCCCTCTCTGAAAAGTGTTTACCTAGGAGCTGTGTGGGGAATAAGTACACTGTACTCCACTGATTGATTTTTTTATTATTTTTATTTTTTAACTTAGGCGCTGTTTTTCTTTTAGTAGTTATTGCTCGAGAGTGAGCATTTCGGAGCAAGGACTTGGTTTTCCTTTTTGTCTGGGGGGAGGAGAGGACTACACTCACGGTTACATGAGCAGTAAGTTCATGTTTTCATTAAGAAGTAATGCTTTGTTTTAAGAAAACCATGCAGCTAATCCATGGAGAGGGGAAGAACATGATTTTTTTTTTGCAAGTGTATAGTTTCCAAACTGTGGTTAATAAACATTGAAGGCAAACAAGCTGAAATATGACCTGGTTAACTCTTGGAACGCACACTGGCCCTGATCAAGAAGTGCAAGTGAGAGGAGACAGCATTCCGCGTTTCTCTACGTTGTCATTTATTGGTGAAGATGAAACTCTGTGCTGCGTGTCCATTCGGCTATCACGACCAAATGGCCACAGCAGGGACTGTCTGATAGTAGGCAGGAACTTTCTAATGAATTAAAAAAGATCTTTGCCTTTAATTATTTTGAGCTGTTTTTCTTATGGCTGCTAGAGCTGCTCTGCCTTAGAAATAAAACCGCACAGGCTCTTCTGATAAACCTGTAGAATTAAGGCACTTTTACCAAAAGAGATTTCAAAAGGCAACAAGTCAAAACCCAACAATTAAGTAATTTGCATATGCCTATATATTAAGTTTTAAGATAACTCGGTTTATATTTAGTTCACACAAACAAATTAACAAAATATAGCAGCATACAACCTATGAAAAGCTTAAGAAATTTATTAGATGCACAGATAAAGTGCTGTAACAGAGAACTTGTGTAAATCTTTTTTTTAAATAAATAAGGTACAGTTAAACCACCTTTGACTCATTTTAGCTCCGAAAGAAAAGTCAGCCTAAGTTTTAACGATCTGAATTTTAAGGTCAAGGTGAAATATATCGTAACGATAACAGTGGTTGTGATCTATATCGACTATTGGAGTCTCCTGTTCCTCTTGAGGTTTCCCAGGAACAGGAAGGCTATTGCAGAACGTATACATTAGACACAGTTCCTTTTACAGAAACATTTTTGTAATAAAGTGTGGTTGCTCAAATACATGTTAAAATATTTAACAAGGAAACAATTTTCTTCTGATCCAGTCGATCTTTTAAACAAGACAAGGTATCTTTTCTATGCTGCAGCCCACAGGAGGGAACAGAAGTAAACATCCTCCTTAACTGAAAACTGTTTTGCTTTAAGAACTAAACTATTGCATTATATGAGAGCAAAAAACGTCCATTTGGTGTTATCCCTTTCTCCAAACACACAGCCCAGTGATATACTGCTTTTTGCCTTTTGTCTTCGGGAAAGACACGCATTAAGAAGAGGTTCCCTTCAAGGCTCTTGTTGTGAGATCTTTTACTGCCTTTCCATCTGGGGAAGCTCTTTGACAGCAGGAACCGCCACTGTTGGAGTTTTGGGTGCTACTCTGGTTTTGTGCTCTGTTATCTGCAATTTCAGGCACTTTGGGGCTAACATGGCTGTTCGATTTAAGTCAATGCAGTAATACTAGCAATATGTTCAATACTCAGAAGGGTCACCAGTTTCCTTCATACACTCAGGATTTCAAATTCTTCTTCCAATTCAAATAGCTTGTCAGTAGATTCAATGAGTTCTGCAAAAGAAAAAAAAAAGAATTAAACTATTTAGAATGTGAAGACACAAAAACCTCCCACTTTTCTGGAAAGTGTCCTTCAAAGTACTTTATAAGATGGCCTTTTTGGGTAACGGCCTGATACTCTGTAAGAAGGAGGCATTTAATCACACAGCCATTGCACAGTTATTCCACCTGTGATTATTCTTCTGTTTGCTAACGAGGAACGTTCTGTCGGTACCGCACCTGCTCCTGTAGTTGTCACTTCTGGCTTTGTTGGAGGTATGAAAGGAGGCCAGTGCGGCGGATGCTTCTGGACCAGCTCAAACATCCGTAGGCTCTGTTGCTTTAGAATCTCCTGAGGACAGAATATGTTCAGTTTAAAAGATGCCTCAAGAGAACCTTCAAACACAAATGCCTGATTTTTAATTATGTAAATACATTTTTAATTATGTATGTCTACCAAAAACCAAAGGCTTTATGCATACAGTGAAAACCTGTTACTTCAAGCACCTGCCACTATGAATCACTTCACTGCCACTCTGAAGGCTTCACCAATCTCTGTATTATTTTCCTAGTTGAAAACACAGCCGGAAGACAGATCTCTTGACCTGTCCTACAAGTTCTCAGTGTGTTACAACCAGCTTTGATATCCACACACCTGTAACTTTGTTTACATGCAGCAAACACCAGGAACGTACGCTATTTTCTGCCTTTTAAAAGAAAATTACTTGCGTGGCCCAATCTGTGTTCAAGTTTTCTATTGGTCAATGGGAACAAAAGGCAGATCTATGGGCTCCAAAAACCCAACAGATTTTGAAGGATAGGTTTTGATCAGGAGCAACAAGTTATTATTGAAGCCAAATCCCACTCCGCTTCAGTCAGGTAAGCTACATCATACCCTGTATTTCAGTTATATACAAACTGCTTTCCTTAGCCGCTTTATTATTTTTTTCTAAATAAATGCCTTTAGAGGTTACTTCACATTCATGCTCCTGTGGCTTAGCACACCAACTGCGTGCAGAAATGTCCTAAAGTCCTTCTCCTGGGGCAGCAAGCACCTTGTGTGTGTCCTGCACCTCGGCAGGATTCAGCACAAATCTGTTGTGGCACCAGGGACTAACCGACACAATTAGAACACCCAATAACGTATGTCAAACTAAAAAAGGATCAGGAAGCAAACAAATAAATTGCTACAACATGGCAGTTAAAACTTACTTTTAACATTTATTTCTCAGTAAATGACTAAGTTTCAGCCAGTAACATAGCAGTAGTGCTAAAAAAAGAAAAGCTTAAGGGTATATATTTAGGCTCCTTTTCCAACTGGCAGGGTTCATGGTTGTCAAAATGCTGAACAAGCTCCGATCGGCATTTCAGGAGTATTGGCTTACCCTGACACATTAATGCATTCTTCTCTGTGGCTCATTTGATTTGCACCCAGAGAAAGATGTAATGGCAATTTCCATTTAAAATAAAAAAAGGTATCCATTATTTCATACAGAGCCAACGAAGACAGTAGTCTTACCTTTTGTACGAGACTGCACCAGTTATCAAAATCACATTCTTCTTTGCAAAAGAAGCCCTACGGAAAAAATACATGCCGTAGTATGAAATAATAGCAGTATGACAGCGAGCGAAGGATGCTGTGGCATCTTAGTGCGTTGTGTAAAGCCTTAGAAACACAGGTCTGAAGCGACAGTCACCCATAGCCCAACCAAAGGATACTGGCATGGGATCAGATTTAATTAATTTCTTCAACTACCGCAGTATTCTTGTGACCTATACCACATGACTTCTACAAGTAACGCCATATAACTACTTGTAAATGATGAAATAAAGTAAGTTAAGTTTAAGTAAAGTAACTTGTCCACAGCGACTGTGCATATATGGTAGCAATGGAAGAAAATAAGGAACCCTGATTCAGTTCTTTGCTTTGACCTTCAGAATGCTTCTTGCAAAAGGCAAATGCCACTCAGTAAATTAATTAGCTCCCTAGGATACAAACAGCCAGCTCCCTGCTTGACCTACGATTAACTCATCCTATGCAGTTTATATATGAACTACCCTTCCACGTGTTGAATTTTAGATTGTAGAAGACTGCCCTGTAATCCTGGTTCTGCTCAAGGAAACACGCTACTGCCCTTATCACTACAGAGGCATTACTGTGAAATAAAGCATGCACACCCCTTATTTCCTGACACCTACTAAAGCTACTGAAGGGTCCAAATTCATGATCTTCATTCTGTGTGGGGCTTGCTGGCAGTGGAAGCTCTCGTCATCAACCGTGCCATTTTCTTCCAAATCTACAAAACTTTGAGTGGTGTGAGGGTCCAAGTAGATCAGCTCGTTGCCTGTGTGGGTAAAATCCGTACGTTGATAATAGGCAAGGGACTTTAACAAGCACTTATTCCACCCAGATTTGTCAAACAGAAATTAAATTATCATCCCAGTCAATCTCTAGACTTTCTAGCCAAGGAGTCTTTAAAAGAATCGGAAAGTTACACGCAACCATTTCCCACAGGGTACGTAGCATCATTTTCTCCTGTAACCTATTACTGTAGATTTTTTGGTTGGTTGGTTCCACCTTTGTCACATACTTTCCTTTTCCTACATGAGGTTCAGTACATTTTTGAAAAATGTCAACTGTTGTACTCCCTAACGTTCCACAGAGCAAAAAGTACAGGATGGCCACAAGTGCAAGCTGTAATCCATTAGGCATTCATTCCCAAATTGGAACAAAAAAGTTTGACTAAAACAGTTCAGGTTCTACAAAAGGAAGAACAAAATACCCATAAAATTATGGATCAGACCAGGGTGGAATCTGAAGGACTGAGTCTAGCATGAACTATTGCTTTAACTGCTAAAGGAAGACATGGAAGAATGTGACAGAGATACTGCTATCAGAAACAGTTTGAAATATGAGAAAATAATTTCAGAAAACTGAAGCAAAAGAATAAAACAAGACACCCTTCATCAGGAAAAAAATCAGTATTTTAGCAGGAGTGACATTTGACACTTGTCACATGCTAACAACAGGTCTTACCACCTTGTTCTCGCTTATATCATTACTTATTTTTACGTCAAGTTTTTCTGCTACTTTTCCTGAAGTAGTTGAGGTACATTTCTTCTACTCTATTATCACGCTTAAACTACTATTTCCCCTTCAGAAAAATAAAAACTCCTTTCTCTTTAGGGCATATGCATATTTGGAATAAGATTCTTTTTTCCTTACCTAAAAATCCTATGAAATAATAGGCATTATTTGGTTTCCCTCCTAATGCTCCCAAAGACTGTGGCATCTTAAAGCATTCCTAGGAGTTCCAAGGGAGAAAAAATGAAATTGTAGTTGATTGGTGTATTGATAAAACGGATACCTGAACTTATTTCACAATAACAAACCACTGTAAAAAGCCCTTACTTTAAATGCGTCAATATATACTGGATTTATGTGATTTATCCCTAGCCGCAGAGGTATAATAAGCAAGAGGGGCTTCCAGCCAGTGCAGAATCCCGCTGCGTTCTTATTTCGGCTGAGAGCACTTCTGTGCAAATGCGTGCTGCCGTGGGCCGCGCCGCTGCTCTGGGGAGGGGACCAGCACATTTTCTCTGTGGGAATAAAAACAAATGGATGAACGCCCAAAGGAACACAGAGCAGATCCTCCTCTCAATCACGAATTAAGCTATTTTGCCAGACATCTTTACAGAGCTCCTGTCTTGAGACAAAAGGAGCAGGGCATGGAAATCCTAACTATTTAGCAGAGGTAATGGTAGCAGGCACACGCTGGCACATTAGTGAGACGCGAGATAAACCACCGGGGGATGAAAACTTAAGGCTGAAGCTACATTTACTACGAGCACTATTAATACTGCCAAGCTTTGCCCATAAAATGCCAGGGAAATGAAATGGCAGAGATGACAGCATTAGAAACTCTTTGGGGAACTCTTCACTTCCAACGATGCGAACATAAAATAAGCAGAGGTAAGGACCGGAGTAGAAACAGGCTGGGGCTAAACACCGCTTTGCAAACCCACCTTTCTTACAACTGAACATCAAGCCTGGCCATGCGTTTCTCTAGGATCTGGCCCTGGTTTCCCTTTTGCCTGACCTCTTAAAGAGAGATGATTAAAACCCATTCTCTCCATTTCTACGTATTGCAACTTCATTCTATTTCTGGGGTAGGAGTTTAGGCAGCTCAGACCAAACTCCACCTTCTCCCAAGCTGCATGGTATGGAAGCTGGCCACCAAAAAGGCCTACGCCGTTCTGTGCTACCTTTGGGTTTGGACACCCAAAACCTGAATTTGCATTTCCTTTATTCCTTTTCTTACCCTGGGAACAAGTAGGGATAGCCCAGAAGTATTTTGTTGATATTTAGATACATTCAGGGAAGTGGAGTCAAATCAAAAACTGTAACCAGAGAACTAATGTTTCACTTACTGATGTCTTCAATGACCACTGTGTTGTCCATAGATACATAAACTGCTAACGAATTCCACTCATCAAATAAAGCAAGCTTCCTAGAAAACATTAAGGTGATAATTAATATAAAATACCTAGGACCACAAAGGTAACTTTTCAATCAGGACAATTAGATGGTTCTTGAGTAAAAAAACTTGAATTGTTTCTTTAGAAAAATGTATTTGTTGGATTTTTTTAAGTCTCCTGTAATAAAAAGATAATTTTGAATAGTTAACCTTTAATATATTTAGAAAAATAAATACTGAGCAGTCCCAGGAAAAGCACACACCCTGTTCCATGTGAAAACTGTTTTGTCCTTTTGCCAAATGCCGTGATAGTAGCAGCTCAACCACGTAATTAGGTTTATTACTTTTTATTGCATTTAACAGCCTCTGCAATGGGATCCTGCCCATTGTGCCTGGCATTGTCTAAAGCAGGAGAAAATTCCTGTGTACGTTTTGCTTAAGAGGTTCCACTAAATTCCGTGGAACTATTTCTCTATAAACACAGGTTTCTGTCTGCTTGCGTGAAATCCAAAACTCTGGGGAAGGGAGCTACACTCTTAAGCTGCATGGGCAGCATCAGCTGTCTAAAAGAAGCCAGAAAAACCTGTATGTGAGCACCAAGCCACGACGAATTTGTAAGTGGAAAGAGCTGGAGGCCAGGGCATGCTTTAGCTCCTCTCTCTCCAGAACGTGTGTCTGTCCCAGGGCTGCAAAGAACGGTTGCTGAGCACTCGGGACCTGCAGCCTAGCCTCCGCTTGAGATTTGGCACCTCCACCTCTCCCTCAGAAACAGAGCAAAGTCAACTCTTTCAAGCGTGGCTTCTAGACTAGGAGGAGCTGCCTGTGTGTTATACAGCAGCCTTCAGGCAGAACTGCAGCTCGGACAGTGAGGAATTGCCGTTCAGTTCCCTGGATGGCTTCGCTCTGATGTTTTGTACCACTGCTCTAATCTGCACAGTGGCACTCCTGACCTGCCAAAGCTGTGCCGCTCTGTGGAGAGGTGGAGATACCTCCGGCACTTGCTGGTTAGGGCACATGGATAGCATAGCAGGAGAGACTTTTTGCAGTTCTTCCCCAGCCTCTTGGCATATGAAAATTTAGAACTCGCCCAATCCCAACTCAGTACCTGCCCACCAGGCTACAGCATCATGGTGCGCACTGTACCTGCAAACACACAGCATATATATTCCTGATTCTGGGAGAGAGGGAGATCAGCCTTTAAAGCTGTGCCTTGGGCCTTATCTTGGTCTCTGAGCTTAGCTGCCCAGGGGAGGACAGTCTGAGTGAGCCAGTGCGATGTGACGTGACTTACTTCAGTACTTGAGCAACTGTATTTGGTCCGAACCATTCTCCAATTGATTTCCCCTCTCCGACACCCATCTGCGCTGTTTTTATGAGGGAAAACACACACAGGAAAAAAAAAAAAAGACCACAGAGAGTCTGGTCACAATCTACGTTAAACAGCATGACCTACTAATATTCTGACATACATTCTAGAGCAATTGCAAACTTTATTTAGCAATAACAATTATTTTCTCAATCTGTGCTCTTTTCAAATCTTAATGACTGCTAGTTCCTTTACAAAAACTTTCTAACCTGTACTGAGAATTACAAATATTAGTGTCCTTTATTGCAAATTACAGCAATAAGCTTCGTGACTGTCTATTTTAATACTATCAACTCTGGTACTCAAGGCTTGCATACTTTATCAAGAGCTAGATTCTAATATACAGATTTATTTAGGCCTCAGTGAATAACATTTCGGAATTATTATACTTTGCACCCATTTGCACGCATTTTAATTTGTATATAAACATACACGTCTTCAAAATCACCTTTTTAAAATTTTGAATTAACACATTTCAAACTAGAAAGTTTCAACAGAGTAGGAATTTCAGTGGGGAAAAAAAAGTTGCTGGGTGTTCTTACCCATTTGGTGGATGGAATAACAGCAATCTTTTCTATCTAGAAAGCACCGTAAGATTCTGTGATATTCTTCCGGCTGTTTTTTGTGTTTCTCCCATTGCCAATCTTACAGGAAAAAAAGTTATACAGATTAAAAAATAGTAATAATAATGTTTCCATCGTCCTGATCAAATTTCTAGATAGTAGAGAGCCATACAATGAGATGCTAAAGGACTACTGTACCATTTGTCTCCAACATTTTGTTTAGAGTTCCTAGAAGTCAGAGCTTCTCATTTTTTATCAAGCCGTCCTTTACCACCACAGGCTAGATTGTGAAAACCAGGAAAATAAAATAATAATGTCAACTGCAAATATATTCTGAGTGATCACCACTGAGAATTGATAGCTGTTGCTGCACATGAGCTTCCAAGACTGTTTAAAACTATACACTCTGCTTAGATTGTAAGCGTACATCGGATAGTGGCATAAGATCCACAAAGCAAAGTCCAACCACAGCACTGGCCTTCTCCCACAGCAAAATCCCAAAGATAGCTTTGCCATGGATGCTCTTGCTTCTAATGTTAAGGTAGTTACCTCCCATTTACTGGGAGAAGTGCATACACAGGGCGGATACTATGAAGTAGCTACACACTACGAGTTCATATTCTAGTTTTTCTCAGGTAATTTGTTTACCTACTCCTTCAGTTAAATCTTTGCACCTCCGTTCTGTGGATTCAGTTATTAAAGTAGATAAATCCACACAGCACACTGCCGTAGAAACCACAGCACAACAGTACAAGGATTACAGGCCTAACCGTAATAATTTAATTGATACAGCAGCTACACACAGACCAGACCTATGATACTTACCGTGATCCTGGGACGTGAGGTGTTGATGCAGGCTTAAGAGCTTGCACTAATGGGTTCTGCTGTGGGGTTTGGACCTCAGGCTGGTGACGGGTGAGTGGTCTGTGAAGTACTTTGTATGATGTCTATCACTATGTCACTATTCACACAGTCACTGTGTGCGAGCATTTGGTGGCTATGTAAGGAATGAAGAGAAGGGTAGGAACTCAGATCTGTGGTGGCAGGTTTTCCCTTCCCTTGGTTGGGTGTTCCTCAGAAAGATTTCTAAAATAACGACAACGGGATTCCCTGTTTGTCCTCACTCTGTTTCTATTTCTCTGCTTAAGGCTGGCAAATTTCACCCTGACAGACAAGAATAATTCACCAGTAACTTCTATCAGGGCATCAAAGAAAGTTTCATTAATAAATTGACATTTTGTGCTTTTATGGAAAACTATGACGAAATTAAATGGTCTCCAAACAACACAGAAGTTCACTCAGCAACAGTACTCACCTCTTCCTAAATGCCTGCAGATCAGTGCTTGTGCCAGCATCATCTGCCCACACCGCAGCATACAGCCCCAGCCGGCATCGGACGAAGGACCGGTGCCTCCTATTAAAAAAGTTCATTACGATCAATATGGGCTTTAAACCCAGCACAGCGCCGGAGAGAAAATCTCAGAGTTTAAACCACTCACAACTGTCCTATGGATAAAAGGCACTGAGCAAGACCTTTTTGTTCCGTATCGCTGGCCTAACTTCACTGCTTGCTCTACAAACGTGAAGACTTGATTGTATGCGGGTACAAGTCCACACAGTTTTTAATAGCTTTTATATTTTGTTTGCCTAAACAGTTAAAATGATGCTCAAAATGTTCTAATACTGTAAAAATAATTTTTCAGGCCATGACGACATCACTAATCCTGCTATCTAATTTATAACAAAGCAGCTGGTCTGCTGCATACTCACCAATAGGCGAAAACTTTCTTCTATACGTAAACCAGAGACGAGCGCTTATATCCAACAATAACTTAGATTTGTCTGGAATATTTTTAAGAGGAAATAAATGATTAAAATGAACTTTTGAAACTGAAAAATTATCACTTTCCCTGTACAGTCAATATATACAAGTGCACGGAAGACTCTTGTTAGCTTTTACATATAAGACCCTTAATACTTAAAACATTTTTTAGCTGTTTAAACACAGAGCTCTTTTCTAGACTGCTAATCAAAGTTAACTTATTAAAGTTAGTAAAATAAACATTAGCCAATGAAGTTTTACAAGGTGTTTGGCATGACCATGCCCAGCTTGAATGAAACAGCTATGGAGGGCTGTGTCCTCAGGAAAGAAGTGGTAAAGCAAGTTAAGAAAGGTGAAGAATTTCCACATGCAAACCAACATGGACTCTTCATTACCTCCAAACCCAAACCAAAGTCATTTTAAGAAAAGGTTAATAATACTAAACTTCATTAAATCTCCCTCTTTTCTTTTTTTTTTTTTTTTAAATACACGTGCTTACAGAAGTCTCCCAAAGGCTCTGAAGAATTGTTAAGAATCTTATTTGCTGCACTTTCTCTGAGCTGTGGCTCAGACTGACTGGCCTTTTCAAGGGATCCATCAGCCGATCGAGGCTGTACACAGTACCCTCGGCTGTCTTGAACACCATTGATGGCCACTGCCTTTGACACGTAACACAGGAGGATGCCCCTGTCTTCTCCCCAAGGAGCAAAACTCATTCCTGAAATCTTATTTTTATATGATACATACATACATACATCACTCTGCTATGACTTTTAGGTCACATATTTATTTTCACCAAAATACAGTATGTGAGTTAATTTTATTATTATTCTTTTGAAATACCACTTTAGTTGCAAATAACAGGCTGCAGACAGCATCCCTCAAGGGAAAATAATATTTGTAGCACTGCACATTCCCCTATTTCTGAGGCATTTGATACTGAGAAGTGACCAGCCTCACACCTGACTGGCCTTTGCGACAAGGACTATTTCTTTGCATGAATTATGGTAGAAAATACATAAGTAAACTTCAGGTTTCGTTTTAGGACGAATAACGCTGCTTACAGTTGGTTTCTTGCTGATGGAGAAAAATAAACTTTTCTTGTGAGACATTTAGAGAACGTAAAGGAAACCAGGAGCTGCTGCTGTGTGTGCGTCTATGAATGCTCTACAGATTTTACAGATGAATTTTCATTCTACAGATACCTGTGTTTAGGTGGTGTTGCCTTCCTAGAATCCATACTGGCTCATCAGTTTCTGGAAATTCTTCTAAGTAGTCTGACAAAATAGTGATCTGGTTTTCATACCTAGATAAAACTGAAGAGGAATACACAAAATTCAAACTCCATTTTGTCCCTTTGTTCTTTTATGCACAACTTGGAGTTAAGCTGAACTAGCTGCAGCTAGTCTTTGCAATCTTTGGGTCTTCTGAATGGTGCTGCCAGCTGCGTTTACTCTTTTCCTTTAACAAGCTGTTCTGACACTGAAATATGCAATGTCTTGGCTGGTTTTTATTTGCATCCTCAGCGAGTGCTGAGAGAATAACATGGCTGACACTTTGATTACAAGCAGTCTGACTGAAGCCAGTAGCAGAAGTTCGAGATGACTGCAGCCAGAGTAAGACTGGATACAAGGAAATGAGGAAAAGGAAAAACAATTTAGGCATCACAGCACGTGTGCCCCTGCTCGATCTTAAATGTCCAAATACTGCCACTCAGAGGGATTATGCCCTTGTGCTTAATGGGAAGCATGTGAAAAGCGTCAGCGAGACTGCGGTTTACTCTCCTAACTGGAGATCTGAAACACTTCAAAATAAAAGATGTATTAGGGGTATTGCTCAACGCTAGACCTATTTACTCTGAAATAACAAATGATAGTTAATACTACTTGAAGGAGACTGCTTTTAGATAATTCATCAAAGCAGCGTTTGTTGGAAGAGGAAAACAGGCCTTCAAGTGTAAAAACGAACGTAAAACTATTTCTTTTCCATAGCAATATTAAAGAGCATACTGCTAAAACATCAATAGTTGAAAGTGAAAACAAACACAATTATATAGTGCTCTTCAAGTAAGCGCACATATGTGCAGTATAAAGAACGAATAACCATCAGGTAAATATATTTTTAAAAAATCGTGTAAAAATACACATTCTAGCAATCAGAAGTGGAATTGGGCTACAGCGCCCAGGGCCAGCGGTACCACACACCTTCTCCGCATGCGAGCGCAGGGACTTGTTAAAAAACACGATAAACTTCTTCCTCGAGACCGTAGGCAGCGCCGAAGGATCTCTCACCCTCTGCTGCCTCTGCCCCGCCAGAGCAGCCGCCACTGCTCGCTCGGACCGGGGAAGCAGCCTCCTCGTGAGCCCCAAAGACCCAACACACCCCCAGCCCCCGAAATCCGAGGGGCGAGAGCCGCCTCCCCCCCGCGCGGCCATGTCTCTCCCCCCAGGACGCCTCGGAGCAGCCGGGAGAGCGCTACCGGGGG